TCTTTGGCCAGAGACCAGAACTTTCTCCCTCCCCTCTCATGCCTAGGGTAGGAGGTTGACTCCCCCAACCCCCATCCTTCTTGTTCCTTGGCCCGAGACTCAGCTAGATCTTGACGAAATACATGACATTTTCACTCCCCTGCTCAGCAGCAGGTGTACATCAGGGCCCTGGGACACAGGAGAGCTGGTCAGTGGGGTTCAAGTTAGCCATTAGGCCCCTCCTAAATGTTTTACTCATCAACTCAGTTTTCCCAGTAGCCTGTGAGATGTATGTTAATATTTCCCATTTTATTGAAAAGAAAGTGCCGAGGGAAGAGGAGAGCAAGCCTGTCTGGGGCTCCTAAATGGAATCACGGCTCTGTCTCTGCAGGAGGACTGGCTCCAGACCATACCCCCACCTCCCCAGCCCCCAGTCAGCTGCTACATGGAGCTCATAGTGAGGCTGGGGTCAGGGCAGGGGCTCTGGTGGTCTGAGGTTTCCATATTCTCAGGGTATGTGGGCACTATAGAGAACAGACTCAAATTTAAACCCCAGCTCTGCCACTGCAGACTCTCCCACTGAGACAGCTGTCTCAAGCAGGCTCGCTAGGGCTCATCCAAAACCAGTTCACAGCTCTGCCCTAGGAGATGGGGAGAGTGGTTGTCTATTTACCATCTGCACTTGAAAACTTGCTCCAAGCCAGGTATGTCTGTAAGCAGAGCCTACAGGGGTCACTGGAAACTTCAGTTTGCTGTGCCTTTTTGTTTGTTTTGTTTTGTTTCTTTAGGTTAAAAAGTTATGTGTGCGTGTGTTTTGCCTGCATGTACATACGTGCACCACATGTGTGCCTGGTGCTTACTGAGGTCAGAGGAAGGTGTTGAGTCCTTTGGAACTGTGGTTGCTCATGCTTGTGAGGCACCGTGTAAGTGCTGGAAACCTGGATCCTCTGCAAAATTAGCCAGTGTGCCTAACCACCAAGCAATCTCTCTGGCCCCTACAGCATGCCTTTGGATTCCAGCAGTTTCTACGAACTCTTCTCTGACACTCAATGAAAGACCCCCAGTTTGTTTGTTTGTTTATTTGTTTATTCTTTTTATTCTTTTTATCTCTCTTTATTCTTCTTATTCTTCTTTCTTTCTTTCTTTCTTTCTTTCTTTCTTTCTTTCTTTCTTTC